CCAAAGAAGTGCCTGCATGGTGGGCAGAAGCAGTGCCTGTGCTTGCACATGGTGACAAGACTGCAAATGCTTTGGCGTTCCTAGAGGGTGAATGGTGCAGCATAAGTTACAAAAGTTAGCTACAAAATAGCAAAATAACTCAGAGCATCTAGGCTACTGGTGGGCTGTGATGGTGCTAGGCCACTGGTGGGAATTTTGTTGCTGTTGCTTGAATATAATAATCTTCTCTCTTTCTGGTGGAAGCTCAAAAGGAACATCATAACTTGAGAAAAACAAACTGAGGTCTGCTATAAACCCTAGCCAATAAACTTCACACAGTAGTGACCACAATTTGACTTACTGCAACAAATAGCAAGAGTGCTCTTGTCAACTGTGGTGCGTATCATCACTTCATCATGTACATGTCACACTTCCTCTGGATGTTGAGATCCTTGTACACCCAATAGGTCAAAGATCAGACTTGATTTGTCAAGTCAGGCTTTTACCATGTTTACCCAGCTTCTGTGAGCATACAAGAAAGAGTGGGGTAGCTATCCACCATTTCCTTTACCAAAGCACTAAAGAATTCTGCAACATTAGGATTTAATTCCAGAAAAGGACACTGTATTGTGTTACTTTCATACTGGGTAACTAACATTGTGATGTGCTGGAATTTGAAAACTAAGAATAGTAGAACAATTATGCCTAACTGAACATCTTTTCCAGATGCTCTCGAAACAAACAAACAGCAGCAAAAAAAGAACACCTTTAATCCATAATACCATCCCACAGAAAACTTTCTACAGGCAACAATACAGATCTCATTTTAACCTTATAAAATTACTCCACTCATTTCAGCAAGTTGGGAACCAATCACAAGATCTAGACTGGCTCTTGCCATTCTCAGTGTTCACTACCACTCATAGCACTCCAAGTTGTTTCACAGAAAAAAATGAAATCTTGCTCTTTAAGGAGGTCACTAGAGATTTTAAGGAAGAGAGCTTGAGAAGGGCACACTGATGCACAGACATCTGAAACAATTTTCATGCTACTGCCCAGGAGAATAAACCAAATGCTCCCCTGGGGAGGGCAGAAGCTTGCCATCAGGGAACATATGGTGCTCCCATGTTTAGCACAAGTGTTCACAGATACCCTGCAAGCAGCATTCTACAGCATCAAGGATAACTGAGCTCTATAGATGCTATCACTGCAAGATCATTTGGATCAAGGTTGACACCTGCACTGAGAAAACCTATGCCTGGGGTATCTCCAAGTTCACTATGTGAGCCACACACTGTAGACAGTTTTTGCACTTTCAAACCTCTCAGCATAATCATAAAACAAAAAACAAAAAACAAAACAAAACAAAAAAACAAACAAACAAACAAAAAAAAACAAATCTAAGCCAAAACCAAACACAAGAAGCCACACAACTTTTCTTAATATTAAGGGTATTCTCTGATAGCCTATCCAAGAAAGGGAGATGCCAGCTAAAGGCATAAGGATGCCTTCTGACTAAATGACTAATATGTGTAGTTGGACACCTTAATAAATAAAATCACTAGTAATATTTATGCCATAAAACAGCAGACTACATCTTTCCCAGACACAAACAAAATCCTGTAACATATCTGCTTAACTATGGAAGCAACTTAGTACTTACTATGTACAATATTCATTAGAAGAGTGAGTATGACTAGCACTACAAAACTGTACTCCAAAGGAGTTTCTATTATTAATAGCATACTGATACACATTTGCATAAGACTATGCCTTCATTCCTATTTCCCACGCTAGGCTACAACTATGAAATCAATTAGACTCAAAGGGAAATATTTCTATTTGTTTAAAATTTTGTCAGATCCACAACCTGCAAGGCCAAATTTTACTTGGCCTATGAAGCGCTGGCATTTTTACTTGAAAAGAAATGCCAAGCTCACAGACTGCAAACAAACAGCAGAATTAGTGACTGAAATCCAAATACGCCCTGAAACAGTTATAGTCTTTCTTCCACATTTGACTAATTTTACCAAAATACTCAGCTAATTAAAAGGTTTTACTTGTCAGACTGCTGGTTTCAGCCTAACTAAGCAAGCTTAGGCACAATGAAACCATGGGAATTTTTGTTTTTGTGAAATACGTGTCTGAGAAAGACTGCCATCAGTCTCTGCTGTAACACTGCTGTAACCACGTTTAGGTCTCTTTTAACTGCTAGTTTTGCATTACTGAGTGACTGGGGCAGCATGTGACAGAAAAAGCCAAGGGTGACCTCATGACAGGTCTATGGGCCCAGCTTGCAGTGAAACTTTTAGAACCTCCGGACAAGCTTCAGAATCCTAGGCAGCTGTCACAATCTCAGCGAAATCAAGAAATGTTGCTTTTTTCTTTTCTTTTCTTTTCTTCTTTTTTTTCTTCTTTTTCAACTTAAGAAGCTTGCCAAGTGAGTGGCTAAGTGCATCACTTCATCACACATGGGCAGATGAAGGTATCTCCAGACCAATGAAGCCAAATAATTTAAGAAGGGAGAAAAAAAAAAAGAAGGAAGAAAAAAAGGGCATTTTGACATTTCCAAAATGTCCATTTTACATTTACATTTCAGAAGGAAGCTCCATGAATAGGAAAGAGTACAGACTGACTGTCCATTTTAAGAAGCATTAGGTTTTCAATCTCTCTCTCTACTGCACATTTTATTTCTTGCTCCCTCGGTATTTCTGAAGCAGGTAATGACTTCACCTTTTTGGCAGTGAACTTGAGGCAAGATATTCTCAGGTTTTCTAGCACAAAGCATAAAGCAAGACAACAAAGTTCTCATATTCTCAGAACCACCTTTTCTATCACTGCACATCATCCTCAACAGGGATGCAAGGAATGGGCCGTATTTCTCTACCTTTGTTTGTCCAAAAAGGTATTTGTTACCCTACATCTTGCATGGTCAGCCTCTTCCCTTGTGCCTGCTGCTGTGGGGAACAGCACTGATCATAACTGGCTCAAATCTTGGGTTCAAGTGACCTGGTTGCATCTCCCAGTGTGGCAGGTTCATACCTTCATTTTGGACTGCCAGATCTTAGCGTAGATGCCTTGAAAGCTGTTTTATATAAACTTTGAACTTTTTAAAATAAAATTCTGATTCAATATGTATGCATGTAAAACCTGCAAATTCCTGAAAGTGATGAAAAAAGCAAGAGTCAGATACAAGTTCTAATAACTAACTGTGGACTTTGCAATTCTGTCACAACTTCTACATTAAAAAAATATTTAAAATATGCTGAAATATCACACGAAGTTGTTTGGATTATTTTTTGAGCTTTTCTAGCATATATCAACCAAATCTGCATGCCTAGCTTTTACCCTCACTGATCTACTTGATACTCCTAAGGCAAAAGAAGAGATTTTCAAATCATCCAGAGCAGAGGCCCAGATTTCCACAGATGTACAGAATAAAGTGAAATTTAATTCATCCTTACTTATCTTTCTCCATCACCAGCAGTCATCAGCACCTCAAAAAGTTATTTCAAACAATACTTGCATTAATGATAAAGCACAATAGTAGGAATTGCTGTGAAATACCTAACAATATACTGAAAATGGGTGTGGTACTGTTGAAACTCAAAGTTGACTATTGTGGTGGCTGGTTGTTAGTTAGTTTGTTTTTTGTGCAAATGAAAGAAATTAATCCCTTTGTGGGACAGAGAAGGAGTCACACCAAACATGTAACAGTCACTTCTAAAAATGAGGGATTATCATATTCCCACAATGCTTGCCTGAAGTACATGCGATCAAAAGTAACTTTAAAAAGATTTTCCTAACTCAAAGTCAGAAAACAAAATTTGACGTAATTCTTTACCTTGTCTTTAAGATGTTTGACAGGGTAGTACAGAAATGACAGCATATTGCCATCTCGAGGCTCCATAGCAGTATTGCATGTTCAAAACGTCTATTTGTCACCAGGTTCACAGTAATTTTAAGCCATATGTGCCAAAGACTCCATTATACACCATACGTTTTATCTTTATTTTTATGCTATGACCTCTGCAGATCCCTTTCTGGGCTGGGTATACTTTAAAGAAGGGAAATCTTTAAGAGTAAAACTTAAGGAAAAAAGAAAAAAGAAAAAAGGAATTTTAGCATTACATCCCTTTTCAGAAGGAGAATTGATAGTATTAATCTCATTATTACCAGAAAATCTGCAGTCTAAATTTAATTAGTAATACAGATTTCCCGGTTCCTTTGAAATTAATACTAAAGTTTAGTTCAGCATCAAAGACAGATTCAATTTAAGAAACAAGTTACATTAAGAGATTACCTAAAATCACTGCATATAATATTATGAAAAAATATATACAGAATTACACATATTGTATTTCTTGAAATGCATACAGTAATATGACAGGAGCTTCCATAAGGAAAAAAGCACGCTTTCCAAACATTTTAGTCACAAAACTTCACTCAAATGCAACAGCCATGCTAGTGATCATTATAAGAACCCAGCTGTAAATAAACCCTTTTGTCATAAATTAGATAACATTGGCATCCTCCATGAATAAAATCTTCAAATGCCAAATACATAGCCACTTTCATGTTTTAGTCTTTTCTTCCTTTTTTATTTTTTATTTTTTTAACATTGACTTCAGAGGAGATCACTCGGGAACACATATCTCTGTTGATATACTCCTTGAAATCACAAAGAATATGTTCTGTTGAATTTACAGTCATATGGGGAATACCAAGTTAAAATTGTATTTGTACATATGTGATTGTTATACACAATTTTGACAGAAGGTCAGAGACATTGGATTTTGCCTGTTTGTGAAACCAATTACATCTAAAAGGCTACTTTCATAAGGATACTCATTTACCAGAGCTTCTGTGCTGTTCTTCCCTTTGCTAAACAAAATTGCTTCTACTCAAAACACACGAGCAGCCCTTTGAAGGCTGCTGCTCTTACACATCTGATCATGCATATCTTACTGAGATCTCTGAGGCTCTTTAACCAAACAAGAAAATACCTCACTGCAAGTTACCTGCTTGGCTTGGAGGCTGCCAGCCTGAGTACTTGGCACTGCTTGGGGGTCCTGTTGGCTTGGGAGCTGAAGGAGATGTGGTATTGTTGGTGGGGGTAGGTTTAGCATCTGGGCTTTCATGGCTGGCAGACACATTCCTCACTGAAGTGGCAGGTGGGGTAGGCTCCACGGAATCACTGTTCAGAAATGAGGGAGAAAGAAATAGGATGTATGGTCAAGTAGTGCCTTGACCATACAGCATGCAAGCACTCAGACACATTATGAGGCCAAAACATAAATTACCAACCTTGATTTTTGTCTCCATATTTACAGGGTTAACAAGTTTCACAATGAAGAGTATATCTGAATGTTCAGTTTAGTGAGTAATAGCTATTGCAATTAAAGTCTTTTGCTAATAGAGATAGCTGTCGCTGATGCTCCAGTTGATTTGCTACACGCAGTGCTTACAAGTCCAGTGAAGCACGAAGTGCATTCTGTTACATTCAAATGCTAAAAGGTATTCAGACATCTGAGGCATTTACAGAGTACATTAGACTTCTCAAAAGCTTAGTATACAAGTCTTTTTAACAACAGATTCTGAGGAAGTAGAGGTACTGAATAAAAATGCCTTTGCAGACTGAAAGAAAAAGGATAGGAAGACGTTATCCACCATTAAGCAGCAGCTCAATGCTGCTGACAAAGTAGTTTAGGAGACTGGCTTCCAGAAAAAACTGTCTGTAACTTCACTGTCACAAAAGTGTCATTCTAAGTTGTTGAGATCATTTGACACATGACTCATCAAACCAATGGTCCACTCACTGGATAAGGAGCCGGCTGGATGGTTGCACTCAGAGAGTCGTGGCCAGTCGCTCAATGTCCAATTCCACAGGAATTGGTGGTGGGACTGAGGCTTTTTAATGTCTTTGTAGGCAACATGGACAGTAGGATCAAGCGCAACCTCAGCAAATTTGCAGATGACACCAAGCTGAGTGGTGCAGTTGATGTGCTACAGGGAAGGGATGCCACCCAGAGGGACCTGGGCAGGCTTGAGAGGTGGGCCAATGACCAGCTCATTAAGTTCAACAAGGTCAAGTGCACCTGGGTTAGAACAATCTCAAGCATCGAAACAGTTTGGGTGGAGAATAGGTTGAAAGCAGAGCTGTTGAGAAATATTTGAGGTGTTGGTTCATGAAAGATTCAACATATGTTGGCAATGTGCTCTTGCAGCACAGAAGGCCAACTCTGTCCTGGACTGAATCAAGAGAAGTGTGATCAGCAGGGTCAGGGTTGTGATTCTTCCCCTCTGTTTTAATGAGACTTCACCTGGAGTACTGCATCCAGTTCTGGAGCCCCCAACACAAAAAGGATATCAAACTGCTGGAGTGGGTACAGAGAAGGGCAATGAAGATGATCAGAGGGCTGGAGAACCTCCCCTACAAGGACAGACTGAGAGAGATGGGGCTCTTTAGCCTAATGAAAAGAAAATTCCAGGGGGATCTTATAGCAGCTTACCAGTATCTGAAAGTCTACAAGAAAGCTGGGGAGGGACTTTTTATAAGGACGTGAAGTGACAGGACAAGGAGAAATGGTTTTAAACTGGAAAAGGGTAGATTTAGACTACGTATTAGGAAGAAATTCTGTGCTGTGACATCAGGGTGTGAGACACTGGAACAGATTGCCCAGTGAAATTGTGGATGCCCCCTCCCTGAAGCATGGATGAGGCTTTGAGCAACCTGGTCTAATGGGAGGCATCCCTGTCTAAAGCAGAAAGGTTGGAACTACATGATCTTAAAGGTCCCTTCCAACACAAACCACTCAATGATTCAATATACCTGCTTCAGGCTGGAACCCCATTACAACTTCAAGATTACTTCAAAGCAATGTTGGTCTTTTTCTATTGAAGCATAAATAAGACAAGCTTGTTTCTCCATCCAAAAGACTCATCACTACTTGTCAAATCACTTTTTGAGTCCAGCTTCTACTTTATTGCCTTTGTCCAAAAACGTAAATAAGAGAATCCTGCTGAATACAGCTGCTTTTACACAGAAGAGGCTACTTAATGAGTAAGACTCTCTCATAAGGTCAGTAATCTCCATCTACTGGATTTCATATCTATATAAGGCTGTTCAAAAACAAACATCAGCTTTCCAAACACAGTCACCAAAGGCTGGAATTTCACCTTTATGCAACACATTTCCTGAAGGACATCACATAGAAAACAGCTGAGGTGTGCAGCTGGCAAAGTGCTGCCTTTGAGGCCTCTCATGTGCAACCATTTTGGAAGAAAGAAATGGAGATGTCAAGATGGAAATTCTGCCTCATGCCTGTGTTTGCCAAATAGCAGTATTACAAGTGTAGGCAACGGAACAGACACGGACTCATGCCTACAAGGCTAGATGAAAATGCCAACTTCTACCTTCACCATCTCTAGCTCCATGGTTGAATTCTCAAGGTTCTGGATGACATGGCATGTGACTTCCTAAACCAACAGATAGCTGGAGACATTTAGGTTTTCATTTAGAAAACAAAAAGACTGCAAAAGGCAATTCTAAAGACCCTAAACTGAAAGACAATGATAAACCCAGGTATTTGACCACTTGAGATAGACTGCATGCTAGTAGACAAGCTTCCCAAGTGAAAAACTTGAAGCCATGACATTGGCAGAGGGCATCAGGCTAGCCTCAAAATTTCTGACAGATCTTGAATAACCTTTGTACTTTGTGCCTCTATTTTTCAAGTAAGAGTTGAATAAATCCAAGCCTGCACTGCAGCCAGTTAATTTAACAGGCAAGTTGCTAATTACTACAGCTTGGCACATCTCTCCTGTGTATCAGTGCCTACCAGCAGTGGTGGACTGCAGTAAACAGTGCGTACACTGGTCTACCTAAATTTTAGCTTCTCATTTAACACAATTGCCTGGGAGATGCATGCAGTATTTTCCTTAGAGAGAAAGATACATCCATATATTTGTCTCATTTTTAAAGAACCCCAGAGATATTCCACCTTTTACAAGCTAAACTTACTCAAATTCATGCTTCAGAAGTAATTCCTAAACAATTTACTATCTCCTTTTATGTCAGAAAGCATTCAAACTTAAACTATTTGTATCAAACTTTATTAATATTATTAATACATAGTTATGTATCTGAAAGAAATGAATTGGTTACGGAAAAGAACTGCAGTTCATTTTTCATTAGAAAATTGAAGAAGGAATTATGAACCTTGTGTATTTACCAAATTCCACATAAGTAGATTTCTCAGACTTTCCAAACAACACTGAAAATGTTCAGGTTATTCTGATGTCAAAACACTTCTACTGTCATTAATGTCAAGCCTAGCTTCTACCTCTAGTTTTAATCTTTTACGTTTGTTTTATAATTCAAATGATTCATTCTCCACCTAATTAATACTTATAGCAAGAAAAAAGTCCACATTGAAAGTTAACATACGTTATCACTGGAAACGTTCTTCTACACTTAGGGTAGAAGAACACTTGGTCTCTCCAAAATACAAATGACACATGTTCCTAGATGTAGCCAGAGGAGTCATATTTATTGTAAGAAAGATGGTATAAGGTACTGAGAGCTTACTAGATGCAATAGAGAGGTGATGAGAGGGCAGCATGTGTGGAAGGAAGCAGGTCCAGGTCACATATGAAACGAGGATCAGTTTCTCAGAGATAGCTCCTAGATATCTGCAGCCATGCTTCCTTTTGAAAATCAGGGGCTAAGAATACTTCAGAAGTATTCTACAAAATTAGCACTGGAAAATCTTCCTGAACATATTCAGGCGTTTCGACGCCCACCCTTCCCTCCCTTCAAAAAGCAAAGAGAAGAAAAATAGATGGTATGGGGTTATAGATGCCTAAACCTTCATTCATCCTTAAAAGGGAACTCTTGTACAGAGCTGTGTATCAGAAATACATGCTTTAAAGAAAATAACTATGCCTCATGCTGTTAGCCAAAAGAAGAGCTGTGCCCCTAGCAGAAAATTAACTACAGGCCATCATATAAGTTCTAGTGCTGCTGAAATGGTAACAAGAGACAAATCTCAGACTTTCCTGAACAGACTTCTTCTAATGCAAGTTCAGGATAGTAAGGTATCCATCTGTAAACATCATCAACCAAGTCTCAGCATGTACTAGTAACTCAGTCTGGTACATCAGTATTTTCCAAATAGTTCTCTGGGTTACAAATGATATTTTGACTCCCACTTGTTGCCCAGAAAGCTGTGCGAATTGGAACGAATCCCATGGGGTCTAAAGCAGCTTGCTGACAAGAAAGGTCACATAACATCTAAGAGCCTGTAAGAGCTTTCTTCATATGGCCAGGAATTCTGTGAGGTTATTTTCCCCTATGAACAATAAATCTTTTAAGACAAAAACAAGACAAAGAAAAAAACAAAGAAAAAAAAAAAAGAAAGAAAGAAAGAAAGGAAAAGAAAAATGTGAGCAAATCATTCTTCTTGGTTCTTGGCACAACCAAGTGGAATGTGATAGCCTTGATTCTGCTTTAAAGAGTCTATAACAAATATATATACATAAACAAACTAGTAAGAGTTCCTTTGTGTTAAACATTACTGCCTGCCAGTTACCTGTTCATCCCAAGCAGGCATAGAGTATATAGTGCAGGAATTTATATAACTCCTAAAATGTATGCACAATGCTTGATACAGCTCTGAAGAAATGAGAAACTTTTAATATGAGATTTTTGAGGCATTTATACTGAATAAACTTTGAAATGTAGCAGTCAGGAAAGAATGAGTTCTGGTCTCTAGGGCTAAGTATACTGTTGCAGAAATGCCTCTCCAAAGAGTTACATACAGCAGGATATCAGCACAGCTGGGATAAAACTTGATCCTAAAATCTCAGTTTCTTGCTGTTAGTTACACTGTTTAAGTCATATATAACTCATGACATATCTTGTCTGGTATCTACATACACATTACCTGAAGATACATGCACAATATCAGATATCAGGAAAAGCCAGGCATGGGAATTATAAAACCCCACAAATGAGGGAAGGCAGTTGTCTTATGCTCTTGCAAAAACACGAGAAATACTAAGTGCTAAATGTATTCCAAAATACATTTGTACTGCAAAGCCCAGAGTCACATTCAACTTCTAAAAATGGCATTTACATTTTGTTTTAGCCTAGCAGTGTCCCAGTAATTTACAAGAAGGAAAAAAAAGGTGCAAAATAAAATAAAAGAGTAGAGAAAGCCGTGTGGGCAGAAGTTTTTCCATATCAAGTTACAGTAAGGACATACATTACCCTTACGTAAGCAGTGGTCTGCACAAAAAGAATTCAGAACTTCTTTCAGAATAAATATTCTCCTACAGGTTCAGACTGTCCTCTTGTCAAGTAATTGAGCACTACATTGGGTCAGGTACCTAAAGCAAAAGTCACATCTACATCTATACTTGCTAATGTTTCCCAAAACTTCAGGGACTTTTTTTTATCATGTGGTTTAATTTTAGGGAAAAACTTTTAAAATTCTTGGAGAGTCAAGATATTAAAGACATTGGTTCCTTTGGTTTATATATGCAGTTTTGGTGTGAGGGGTTGGGGATTAAAAAAGAATTATCACCAAAACCTATAAAACTTAAGGATCCATTGCCAACAGGATGACCAGTTCATAAAAGACTGCATGGATACATTATACAACAACAAAACACAACACATTCTGAGGGATCTGGCAGAGGAACAAAATGTGTAGATGTTTAGCATTACTTCAAGCCAGTTAACAGATATTGCATTAGTCAGAAAAATGCCAAATTTCCCGGAAGCTATGCAGTACAGTAATGCTTCAGACAGCAAACTTTTCAGAATAGAGATGAAGTGAAAGAGATTCAATAGAAGTAATTCCAGAGCAACTCTCCTGCAGAACAAGACCTAAGTGCTGTTTTTGTTGTATTTACAACCATCTTGTGTTCTTCCCTAAAGACAATGCAAACATAAGCTATCTCAATAAAATAGATTCATTACCCTTTTGTGAAAAGTATTTAACATAGACCTAGAAAACTGAAAACTTGAAGTTGTTGAAGCTTATTTACCTTGGCTGTCTCGGTTGTGCCAGTTGTTTTTTGAACAAGTCAGTGTATCATATGATGCCATACCCTCATCTCTTCACGGACATAAGATTTTAGCTCTACTCACACACCAACTATTGTATTGTGTCATTAAGTGAGCTGTTGTTTAAAATAACTTTTCAGCACTGTATTTGTGCAGATATTACATGTCATTAGACTGATAGTAATGCAAAGACATTTTAATATCCAGTTTATCATAGAATCACTCAGGTTGGAAAAGACCTTAAAGACCATCAAGTCCAACCATGACCTAATCATACTACCCCAACTAGCAACCCTCCACTAATAACGTCCCTGAGCACCACATCCAAACAGTTTTTAAACACATCCAGGGATGGTGACTCAACCACCCTGGGAGCCTATTCCAGTGCTTAACAACCCTTTCTGTAAAGAAGTGTTTCCTGATATCCAACCTAAACTTACCCTTTCTTCTTCTGAGGTAACTATAAGCATAATTTGCCTTTTGCCTCTGCTTTTACTACATGTTTCTCAGCCTATATAATGAGACTGTGTTCCTTCCCTAGTTATGATGAGGCATCACAGAGCCTTATTTCCATGGCTCCATCTAGTGGCAATCTCTTCTTCCTTAAGTGGCAGCCCGAGACAACAACGAAATTAGACACTGTTATCCTAGTATGTTGTGTGCAAGCTTTATATCAACACCAGTTATTTATGCATTTACATCTCCAAAAGTGTGCTTCCCAAATCAGGAGAGTTTCTACTTGACTCGTGAGCAAAAAGTGGATAAACAAAGACAGCTTCACAGTCTGCAACTGAAATGCTTACATTCTTTTAACAAGCTAACTTCACATGCAGCTTATGCCACAAACATAGAACATCAGTGAGTAAACGAGACTCAGAGAATTTTCACCACCATTGTTTGCTCTACTGAATTATAAGCAAATAAATAACATAGATAAAGTCTTGCTGGCAGCATGCCTTGGATTTCATCTGTGTTGTACAGGCATCAGAATTGCTAAGGAGAATTTTTCTTTTGGAGCACACAAAAGAGAAAATTTTGATACAGCTTAACATTATCTTCGTGTCTAATAACACTGTTTTCCTCCCAGAAGTCAGGGCTGCTTTAGCCTTTTTCTGTGACTCAAGTCACCATGGAAGCTATGAAGAAGGAGGCAAATGACTAATACATAACACTTTTTTAATATCAAGTGGTATTCAGCTCTATCTTTAATCGGGCCTTATCTCCTAAATGTATTACTCCTGTGAAAATGCAAGTAAGCACATGAAAATGCATAGATTACGTCTCCCTTAGCACAGCTTAATACATACTGCCCTTTAAAATATCTGCCAAAGATTTTCCCCTCTGAGGCTAAAGCTGATTACAAAGCATCAGCTTTTCACAGGAGCTGGTGTTAACATAGCTGTGGTCAGGAAACAAGAACAAAACGTCCTGTGCACTGAACAGAATCAGAGTTGGAACAAAGAGCCTGGACAGCAAATAATTTTTAAAGGACTTATTTGCTGCACACGTCAGTTATTTGATTTCTTACATTAAAAACGAGCTTTGAAAAATAGCAGTGTCCCAGGAACGCTCTCAGCCTAACATGCAGCTGCCCAAGAAATCATTGCAAATAATTCATTTGGGTAGAGCTTTTGAGCCAGAATGCCATTTCTTCTCCAGTCAGCTACTTAGTAATAGTGCCAACCAACACAACACAAACAGTACTGTGCCTCTCAGAAGTGCACCAGATGCCCACCTAGACTTAGTATGGTGGATTTACATGAATAGCACTGGCAGGACCAGGGTGCAGATTAGTTCTGCAAACAGGTGAAACCAACAGGGTTTGGGGCTGGGTATATTATGCCGAAGTCCACAACAGGCAGACTGCTGAAAACATGCAGACAACAGAAACAGGCTTTGAAGTGGAAGCCAGTTCTTTATGCAACACCAGGACAATACCTCTTGCTGTTTGGCAACTCCAGAGCACTTGTTGACTTCCTGGAGGGCCTGCTGGCTTGTAGAGGAGCTTTAGTTACAGGGGTGATGAGCAGGGCATCCAAGAGCAAGCGGTAAGCACTAGGTTCTGAGAGCCTAATAAGCATTTGAAAAGACCATGTAAGAAATTAGTTGACTGAACAGATTTCAGGTTGGCTGGGATTAACTGAAAAGTCAAATAAATGAAAAATTCTGAAGGTTCTACAGCAGTATGGATAAAATGAACTGAGAAATGCCATTCAAATAAGTGGTCTTCAAAGTGGTGTGCACACACTCCAATGTGGTGCAAGAAAACTCACCACAGTATGAGAAACATCTTTTTTTTTTTTTTATCTTTAATAAAATAATTTTTAAAGGCTTATTTAATCTTTTCCCTCTTTTTTTTTTTTTTTTTTTTTAAACTATCTGGCTTTGTGTATTGTCCATAATGTACGGATATGTATATTAGTACAACAGGTCATGTATACAGTTAAGAAATTAAAAAAATATACATATATTTGGAATGCATGTCCAAAAATACATATATATATATATATTTTACTGATGGACATGCATGACCAACAAAGTTGAGACCACTGGTCTAAGTAATCCCTTATAAAGAGCAGTATAAATAAAAAGATAAAGATTTAGTTGCAACTCTCTAGTTGTAGTCTTCAGATCCAAAAACTATAGACAGATACAGATTGTTCTTTGTCAGCTGTACAACAGTTGTTATTTTCAGTTGGTTTACTGATCGAACCACAACATGGATGTCCATAAAGATCAGGAAGGTAGAATTACTCATCGAGATTCAGAGCAGCAGATTGGAGTAAAATAAAAGGACACCGGAGCTTTGGAAATATTCTAACTACTTGCCTACCACAGTATTGTGAAAGAACTTAAATATTCTTAAGCCAAGCTATGAAAGGTTCCTTTCAGAGTTGATCTCTACCTGGCATGAACAGCAATGGCAGCAGACACGGCAGCAGCAGCCATACGCTTAATTTTTGATCTCTGCTTGAAAGGAGAAAAAACTGGAACAGGAGCAGGTCCAAGCTTGGCCAGACTTCCTGAAGGACTTCCCAGAAATTCTGTTCTAGCACACAAACTTTGAACCAACAGAGAAAACAAAGAAAGCAGAAAAGATTGACAGAGAAACAGTATAATACTATATAGCATTAACTACTGGAAAGTGATGCTACCATAGGTTACCAGCTCTCAAAGATCTCAGGGCAATGTGTTAGCAACTTGAACAGTAACGCAGGAAACAGCAATTCTGGTTTTACCTACAAATAAGTTTCCACTCATCAAGTCAGAAATCAGCATTTACCAGCCCTTCAGTTGCCCATTCTAGGCTACGCCTCACCCTTGGCTTGTTCCCACTGAACCCTCTGCCCATGACTGATCTCATTCTCCGTGGGTTGATGGAAAAAGTCCTGGAAGTCAATTAGCTCATTCCATGTTTTCAGAATATATAAACATAAAAACATTGGGATATTCACTGATACAACTTCAGCACGCTTCTCCCACCCCTTAGTATTTCCCCTAATTATTATCTAGTTGGAAGGAACATGAAGAGGCAAAAATAACGCTGACACCAAAATCAGCTCTACACTGGTGATATTTAATTCAAGCTCTGTTTTAAAATTTCAAGATTACTCACAGAATTGCTGTGTATTTTTTAAATCACTTCAAAAAAGACTCTAAATACCTCCATTTATACAACTACATGATACAGTGTGTCTTGGATTTACACATACAAATCCTGCCTGAAAATGCTGTATACAACCAAGGAGTCTGCCATAGCTATGCCTTGAAAGATTTACCTTGTGTGACTTATGGACGATTTAGACTGACAGCTTGAGATATTACCAAAAGCATTTGTTTCGGAAGTAGGCACAGATGCATCATGCCTGCCCAAAAGCAGTAGGAAAAAAAAAAAATCATAAATCAGACACTAATTATACTTCTGGAGATGCTAACTAAAGCTCATAAAAGTTCATTTAAGGATTTCTACAAGCACTCCTTAGTCAATAAAAAAAACAAGTATAGTTCAATATCTTTGATTATTAATTCTAGCATGCCAATCTGCATGTTACAAAGGTCAAACAAATTGTTCATTAAAATTGAATGAACCCAGATACACAAATCTCCATTCTTATATCCAGTGTCCACTCCAATAAAGCTTTATTGTTTAATTTTTCTCCCTCTTTTCGGAAGGAGTAATGGTGGAAAAGAGGGAAGGTGTCTTTCCCTACTGGTAACTAGTAGGAATAATTAACATTCTGCCACTTCACAAGTCAATGCTTGTACTCTACTCCAGAAACTTCTGGTTACTGGACAATTCAGAAATGTACATTTTATAACAGAAATGACAAAACTTTGCTGGGAAGGTGAATAACATCATCAACTTCCTAGAACAGTTACTTTCCTATCAACTCTCTAATCTATAACTTCATCTTCCTCCATCTGAAGGTCACTCTAATTTCTGATTTACTTTATCAATTTTTGCTTAATAGCTATTCCAATTGCTAGTTGCTATATTAATCTCCAGAGCACCATGAGAGTCAGGAGGTGGCTGAGGACTGCCCCAGCTTGACAGCATTAACATTAAAAAAATAAAAAAAATAAAAAAAAAAAATCAGATGAAATCATATATTAAAATAAGGCTTTGATTGTGACTCTTAACAGTGGGTATCCTTGTACCTGGCAGGACGAGGAGGCACAACAGGAGTCGCTTCCACAGATGGGGCTGCAAAAGGTGGCTGCATGGCCGTAGGGGTGGGCAGAGGGGGCTCTGGGGTCTGTGTAGCCACACTGCACTTTGCAGGGAGAGGAGGCTCTGTGCCAGCGGTGCTTGGCAAAAGGACTGATGCATCAGGAGAGGGCAACTCCGCAGTTATTTCCCTAGTTGATGTTAATTTGATAAAAGGTAATTGTAATGAGAATACATGCACATAATTTCCCATCTAATTTTTAAATACTGAACAGTAACACACAATTCCTTCTAGTTGGTGTTCCTGCATCCTCTGTTATAAAAACAAGTGAGTAGCTCTTGAGAGTTTCTTTTTCTTCCCCAGGAATAAAATATTAATCCTTTGGAAATTAGACTATGCTGAAATGCATTCTTTGGAGCATATTTTTAGATGAAGTTTGAAAGCTTAAAACTAGTCTTGCTTAACCATGGAGAGTTGAACAGAGAGGATACTGATGAGGTTCAACCAGAGCAAGCAGAGTCCTACATCTGGGGAGAAATAACCACATGCATCAGCACACAGTAGCGGTTGACCTGCTGGAAAGAAGCTCTGCAGAGGATAATGTAGTTGTCCTGGTGACCAACAGGTTGGCCATGAGCCAAGGCCAATGCTGTCCTGGATGCATTAAAAGATGAGTGGCCAGAAGCAGTACTAGGGAGGTGAACCTGAGGGTGATAAAGTGGTGGAACAACTTGCCCTGAGAGACCATGGAATCTCCTTCTCTGTAGATATTCAAAACCCACTTGGATGCTTTCCTGTATATCCTGCACAAGGAAACCTGCTTTAGAGGGATCTCAAGAAGTCCCTTCCAACCCCCATGAGCCTGTAAAAAAACTCTTTGGGTAGTTCTAAGCAATTACTCAAAAATATATAATACACTTGAAAAAGAGCACAGTCTGCATACTAGAGACTCTATCTAGTGTAAGGAGATACCACTTTAGACACTGTGGCTACTTGGCTGTTGGTGTTTAAAACCTGATTAGTTGCAAGGGGATGAAGTTCACACTTGAGTAAGGCCTCCAAAGGATTCTCAAACAAAAGTCTACTGAAGTTAAAAAAAAAAAACAAAAAAAAAAAAACAGAAGGACAAGTAGCATTTATTAAAGAAAAGCAACATTTTCCCCCATATTTAATTTCTTCCTGCTTGTAATGAAAGCAAGACAACTATAAAAGATCTGGCAGTTTTGGTTCAGGTAGCCTGGGATATCCCCTTTCCCCCAGCCTGACACTCACTTCTCAACTAAATAAGCAGCTCCCATCTTTGAAAGGTTCCTTTTTTACATGATGACTACAGACGAGGCAACTTGTTTAGGAAAATCAATGTAGAAATGTCAGACCTGACAAAAAGGTAATCTGTCGGACTTTAGGGAAGTACAGAAGCAGATAAAACAATTCACAACAAATGCAGAGCACGCAGATTCTGGCCTTTTCTGTAATTGCCCTCAAGTAGTTCATAATTTCATAAAACATCTTTGTAGAGCTTCATAAGTCATAAAAAGGAACTTGAAATATAAAAGGAGAAGAGAAATGAATAACAATGGGGATATGCTCCAAAAGGAGAGCAAGCAGTCTCCAAATTTTATTCAGACATACATACTTACTGCATTTCCATTTCTCACTTACTTTGGCAGCAGTTAGAAAAGGAATAAGGAATGACTTTTGGAGTTTCTGTTGAGAATATTGTTGGCTCTGCACTAATCAGAATATACACAACAAAAATCTGGATTAATACCTTCTCCTTATTGCTAACTCTGACTATCAGGAATAATTTCATTAATGAAAGGATAAAGTAGGTCTGTAGCTTATAAAAAGTTTTTATATAATACAGAAATCTAACAATTTGCTGGCATTGGTTCTGCTTTATATTAGTTTTATTTCTCAGGAAGTGCCAGATTCTGTGGTCTGAAGTTAGAGAGTCTGAAGTTGCCAGGATGACCATTTAAGGTGATTTTTTGAAACTTCCTGGAAAGGCTATAACTGCTCCTAAATATTTCATTGCTGTTAAGCTTATAGGAGGATATTGCATATATGATATTGAGTAATAGTATGCTATAAATTATAGTAATTGGCTACATTGCCATATATCTACTTTAAGCTTTCATTAAAGATGTAAAACTACAATTAAAAAAAGCATTATGTTTTATACAATGGAGTCTGCTTTATAAGCAGAGAACCTAGTTGTAATCCAGTAATCGCATCCAGGCCCTTCTTACATTTCACAGCAAGATCTTTCTCCTTCTTGGTGGTTTGGGAGTGGGTGGTACAAATCACAGAGTTTCAGCCAAGAAAAGACAGAGCCCATTAGGAAAATAAATATCTATGCTAGTCACTGACAGTAAATGCAGGGCTTTAGAGGCAAAAACAAGTCTATGACTTTTGGATGGACCACATCTGCATTATTAAAAATCTGATAATGGCACCATGGATTTCTGATAGTTGCCACTTTAAAAAATATAGGATTACTGGAGACCAGTTTTGGATGTACTCTCAATCCTAAAGAGCATTGTAAGTAGCAACACTGACTCAATAACAAAATATAAACACCAAATATAGTTGCTATACAAATTATCTCAACTTGAGAAAAAAAAAACTCTGTGGTTTTATCAAGTAGTTTACAATCTCCTTCCCACATTCAATTCTAATTCTTCTGTCTCCAGCTCATTCCAAGCAAGAAATACTAATCTACTTTTTTACTGCTTGCATAAATACTTCAGCTTTCACCCTCAACCAGATTTTCAGATTAAATACAGTTACAATAACTGCCTCAAATTAATATGCTACCATTGTACCTGTTTATCAGTATATAAATTTCCCTCTTAAATGCTGCATGTGATATTTGAAATGAGCTAATACTAGGTGAGAAAGAGGGGAAAAACTATCTCGACATACTGAAATGTAGCTGCACACACTCTGGTGAGGAACAAGTAGCATAGTACCTAACACATCAGTAGGCAGCTGCTAATGGGCTGCCAAACATTACTGTAACTAAACTAAAAAAAAAAAAAAACAAAAAAAACCAAACCCTGAAATTTGAAATACTTGTGTCTGTAACAATCTCTGCAGCAAAGCAGAAAGCAGAACCCGTGCAGTACACATTCTGAAATGTTAATTGCTCAGCCTTGCACAGAAGTAATCTAAACTTCTACTCTGACAGCACTGTCTGCATGGATACAGCGCTGTACCCTATGCAGTGGTCAGATCTCAGGATGCCTTCCAAAAAAAAAAAATAAAAATTAACAGCCATTATGCATTTTGTAAAAAGCTGTCACCCATGTCTCTCTCAAAGAACAGAAACAACTGAGAAAATGCGTATCCTATCATCTCCTCCATGTGTTTTTTTCTCCGAGAGCACAGTAACTGAGTACAAATGTTGGCAAGAATCTGTCTTTACTTTCGTGTTCGAAGTGTTAAGGAGGAAAATAAAATAGAAGGAAAAGAAAGAGATCCACATTTTGCTTAGAACTGCGATACACAATCTATCAGACAATGCAATGGACCTTCAATAATAGCATTAAAAAAAAAAAAACTCTAATCACTGTCACAAGACCTAGATCCAAAGATGATCTCCAAAATATCAAGAATAGTGCAATTGAAGCTATCCAAGGCCAATGACAGAAAATTTGCCAGTTTGAGCTGTTAAGCGATTCAGGGAAAAAAAGCAGCCCCACTGACAATGTATCTATAGCTAGATAGAAACTAGACTTTCCCTTCCTAAATTTCAAATAACTGCCTTAAGCACTGTGTCATATTTGAACAAATATCCACAAAATTGTTCATGAATCTGCTTAGCATTTTTTTTTCATTTCTCTTCTCCATTCCTTTCCTACCATTTCCAGGAACGTCGCTAATGAATGGCAGATTAAAAAGACAAGTTTAAGTGCATGACAGACAGCTCTCCTTCCCACAAGATAATGAAATCTGAAAGATTTACCTCCCAGGAGCTGTTGCATCAATGTGTTCAGTGAGTCTGAAAGATGGGACACTGCCAGGGGAGGATTCTGCTATCGGCAGAAAAGTGGCTGCAGACTCTGGTCTAGCATCATTTTCACTCCATTCACAATAAGAAAACATACAAAGATTTTAAATCCATACTGAAATAGTGTGCTGGACAGGATACATAGTGCTTAAAAACGTTAGTGAATTGTAAAAAGAAAAAATCGCTGCAGTTTATAGTGAAATAAAAATGGGAGATAAAATGATGCACAATACTCCTAAGAGTTGTCATACTTTTAGTGAAGGGTGAGAAGCATCCTGCTGCTTATCAAGACAGAAAGCTAAGAATTATTTTCCACTGATAAATATGGAACATCACATTATGTGATGAAAAAGTTTTTAGGAAATGCAGGAAAAGAAACAGTCAAAAATGCTGGTGGTACTCACTCCCCAATGTACTCCCCGAGTACATCAAATATTTACTATTTGATGTGACTATTTAGGATTCTAGTTTTGTGAAGATCACAGTACGCATTTCAGCCCCCCCACTCCCCCTTTTTTTTCCAGACAAGAAAATAATCTAGAAAATACTGTAATGGTGGATCTCTACTTAAAGAAAAACACCCACTAGAAATCTTATCGTAATATAAAAAAAGTAAAAGTGAACAATCACAAGCTTAGAGCAGATTAAGGTACCCACATGAGTTTGTTTCATTTTATTTATTTGAATTAGCATGCAGAACTAAGAATCTTAATAAAGCAAGGACCCATCCTAAGTGCTGAAAATTAAAGGACAGATACCATAGGAAAGATCAGGGAGCAGACCTTATAGGAATTAAAGATGTTGATGGAAATTCTGGTACAGATGGTATCTCCAAAGCCTGGGTGACAATGGAGCTTTTGCTCATATTATATATTTACACACATCTGTTTTATTCACTTAAATATCCCTAGGAGCAGCAGTTTAGGGAGAGACAGTAATACTTAAAAGCCCATGTGGCGTTTGTCTTGGACAGTGTCCATAAAGCTGTAGTATTAAGTTGTGATATTTGTCAGTAGATTACTGATGGAAGACAAGTTTCTATGCCATTTTTTGTTATGTTCTCTCTTTTAGGTGATCATTCATATTTAAGCCAATTCATTTATATCAAAAACATCTTCAAAATGTTTTTCTGATGCATACCAGGAAGATGTGAGCTAAGGCATGTCATCCACATCCAAATGGAAAAGCCATCAATTATTTTGGAAACAGTAACAAAGCCCAAAATCTTTGGTGTTGTGTAATGGGGACACTGGGAGAAGAGATAACAACTTCATAGTACTAAATGAAATATGTTTTACATGTTTATATTACGTTTTTGGGGACTAGTTTTTTGTTACTATGAATTCATAAAAATATAAAACTTTAGGTAGCCTTACTCAAACCATACTCATACTCAAAATAGACAGACTGTGATTGCCTATGTTTACTTGTAATTAAAACAGAGACTTCTATGCTTTGGATTGTCCAGGGAGGCTTTTGCACTTGTGTCTAACTAAAGTAACTCATCCTTCAAATGAAGGAAAGCTCACTAACTCTCATTCAGGAATATCTTCCAAACACAGAAATACTCAAAGGCCAAAACCATTCTATCCTTATGAAAAATACTTCACAGAGAATCTAAGTGATATTCTCTTGATTTTAATTGTAATGATAGCCTCAGAAACTCCTGCTTTCTTTTTCATTCATAAGAAATTTTTTAAACCAAGCATAATAATTTTCACACATAGTTTCACTTTCCTAAATCAGTACACAATATTCTGTTAATTGATTACATGGCAGTGTATGTGCTCTTCAGTAACATATAGTTTTAGTAACATAGTACTTGGACAACTGAGTTATGTGGTAAAGACAAACTGATTGGCACTTCTCATCAAAACAGCCTTCAGTGAAATTATTGAAGTACTTTCCCCATTCACCCCTAAGGAGTTAAACCAAAAGGTGTGTAATAAGTGAGATGCCTTAGTCTGTCATTACTAGTGTAAATATAGTTGTACTCTATGCTGTGCAATGTTATGCATTCGTATCAGTGATTGTTAGCAGTAGATAACTTGGCTGTTACCTGAGCTCTCCATTCTCTGTGTTTTTTTCCCTAAAGATAAAGTGACAAATGCAGTAAGATACTATACTGTATATCAGTATAAACCACCTGGAAAGGAAATATAGGCATAAAATATCTTCATTAAATGTGTCAATCCCTTTCAGTTTTCCAACTTGTGCAATTAAAACAAAAACAACCAAACAAAAAAAAAAATCCCACAAAACCCCACCACCCATTTCTACATAAGAGCTTTCTGTGAACATCAATCTGTTTACAAGACCAATTTCATAAGAACAACTTTTAGATAAGCTTCAGAAACTATAAGCCAATTGCAACAATTCTCATGAAACACTTATGAGCAATTGGGCTTGTATATGTGCCTCACAATTCTCATATGAGGGTTGAAACTTCTGCGATTCAAAAAAATGTAGCATTTTTGATGATGGTGAATTTTACTTAATGGTGATGGTAAAGTTTACTTAATTGAATTCTTACTCCTGCAGTCACACAAAAGGTCAATCATTTTATCAGTTTCTGTAAATCTTGTATCAATTTTGAAAACACAAAAAAAAGTAACACATTTCAAATATGATTATAAGCTCTGGTACTTTGACACTTTCAGAGAGTTTCTAGGCATACTAGCACGGATGTGATTGTTCCTCTTGCTACAGTTGGTGAAGGTGTAATGAATTTACAGCTCTTTGCATGAGCAGACTACTCGAGGAGTCCAAGAGACTCAAAAGAAAAGAGACATCACTACGTTAAAAGCAACTTTTATTAAAATACTCTTCAAGCTTCAGAAAGCATAAATTAATGAAGTGTAGCTACTATAATACATTATTTTACAGGAGAACCACAGAGCCATGAAGCTTTTATAAACACTAGAAATCCTAAGAGCTTCACTCTGAAATAAATAAATACTACTGTCTTGTCTTGCTCTTGTCAGAAGCTATGTATTGAAGCTCTTACAGGTAAGGTACACAGCAACATTCTGCTTGTTTTCTTCTAGCTTTTCTAAAATATGAACAGTTCACTATAAGCTGCAGAATCTTTATATTTAGCTTGCACTTGGATTGGCAACTGGCAACCGTTTATTATTATTACTACTTTCATTCGATTAAAAGCAGTCTTCTTGTTCTACTTTGTAAAACATTTACAACCACTCTAAATTTGACTTGCTGAAAATCTAATGAAATCCAAGACAATTATCCTGTTAAGTACCACCGTCTGAAGTAAATGCATTCAGCCCTCTTCTTCCTCTTCCCCTACCCCTAAATCAAAGTAATACCATTTCATATTCTCTCGTTCACTGTTTTCTGCTAACAGCCTACAGTAACTCAAACTTAGCAATGCAAATGACTCTTTCGAGGCAAAAAGAACTGCAACAGCCATCTTCTCCCCCTCACTGGGAAACCCAAGTTGTTCTGTGATAAGTATGTGTTTGTTTGTTTTTTTTTTGTTAACTAGTGACTAGCACAAAAACATTTTCATCTCAGTTTTTATACATCAGTAGGAAAGTGTTAGAAAAGTATAGAAAAGGCTAGAATTTCTCTCTTAGTGAGGCTAATGAAATACATTTTCTACTTTATTTTTGCAAAGCAGATGGAAAAGAAGAAAGGAAGTGTTTGTATTTTGCTTTTTGCAACTTGGGTAAAATCACTGGACATTAAGAACACGTGCTGAGACTTCATGGTGCCAGTCACGTAATTTTGTATATTTGGGGCTAAAGACGTGGATGGGGAGCTTTTCCCTGTGGAAAGAAGTGACAGAAGAAAAATAAGAAAAAGAGAAAGAAAGAAAGAAAGTTTATCTCAAGCAGTTGCACAAGTGGGCATGCAATCTCCATGCACTACTTATATCCATACATCTCCTTCCTGTCCTTCAAACTGTTGCCTCCAGTGTTAGATAATGCCAATAGGAAGACTCCCAACTGCACAAACAGTAAGATTCAGCTACTGCATCGTCCTCGTATCAAACAGCACTTATCCCAAACCAAGGAGACAGCTGACCCTCATTCAGACTAGAACAGTAATATTTTCCAGCTACATCTTGAAACCCGATACACACTTGCAAATCAAAAAAGCCTGGTTAGATTTAGAAAAAGAAAACATGTTGACAAGCTGACCTTGCACAGAAAAGCAAAACAGCCCAATTTTTTGGAAAAGCTCAAACCTCTGCACAAATATTAATACTGGACTGTACAAACAGGGATTTTAAAAGATTGGTCTATACAGAAAGATCTTGATTTTTACATGCTGAATTACAAGGCAAAAGCAGCAATATTTTAAAAACACTCAAACTTCACACAAATGCAAAAGTAACACTACCAGTTATAAAATAAGACATGCAAAGTATTAAAGTAATAATGTAAAACACTGACTCACTTAGACTTCTTTGAACCTTCATGTTCTGGTTCTTTCACTGCAAGAAAAAAGAAAAATTTTACTTCCTAAGGCACAAAACAGCACTGCCAAACACCGAGATTCTTCCCCGTGCCAAAGTATTCACCCCAGCAGGAAATTACAACAAGTCGTGTTTGGATTCCTCGATTCTAAATGCGCCCTATGGGAAATGAGATATGTCTATAAACTCGAAGAGCCCCTTTGCCAGCACAATTACTGTAAAGTGGTTCTGCTGGTCTCTGTCACGTCTTTTGGCCCGCTGTCCATGTTGGCATTGAGAAAGTAAGAGAAAGGGAGTTGAGAAGAAAGAGTGGGATTTTGGAGGCAACTCTTATGGACAAACATCCACAGGATTTGAATGGGGTGAAATTCAAGCACCTGTCTGTAAGGCTATGACTCATCAAGGTGCTAGAGGGCTGCAGGCAGAATAACATAAAATCTCAGCCTGGTTTTAAGTTTGGCAAATGTAGTTGCAACCACATCTTTGTAGTATTTAGTAAAGTGATTATTTATCAATACTAGATCAGAACACATATATTATTTGATATTGAGTTCTCATTCTGACAGGGACAGAAATCAAAGAAAGATAATAATGCAATACTAGACTAGTACAACACAGGACTATCAAACAAACTATTAACTGTCTGAATTCAGAATGGTGTATCACACAAAGACACTAAACCTCATTCAGTGAGATATTCTCATTGGTCTCTAGAGTAATTCTGCCAGAGAACTGATAGCTGATTTAATCAAATTTGTTCCCAGGGAGGGAGTCCACTTTACTCACTGCCTTTATTTTATTATTATTAAAATATTCACTTATCATAGCACTAGATGAAAAAAAGCAGAAAAAAATGAAATTATCAACCTTTCCATAAGCTATCTGTATGAACATGACAGACACAAACATTCCGACACAATTCTGACACATTCTGACACAATTTCTAATAACTTTTATATAATTTTACAGATATCAGCCAATAAACCACAACCAAGAGCATAAAGAGAAATTCAAGATCCACCATAAAATTATGTGACTGGGAAAGATCTCTGCATTTTCAGTTTCAATCTACAATAAATATAGACATATTATATCGTAAGTAGAGGATGAAAACATGCCCCAGGAATAAACTGAGGAGCTATGGAATTGTGCTCCTGAGTAGTTAAATCATTACAGATTGCATACCTTCGTATAATCATCAAAGATTTTCTAAATGCCTGAAAAAAGCTTTAGTTTTTCTCTCCACTTTCTGAAGTACTGCATTTGAACAGAAGCAGTGCCATTTTGGTTGTGCAGAATGAGAAAGAAACGGCAAATACATATTTGCCAACTATTTTAGGAGTAGAAAAAGGTAAATTTAATATCTATCTAGAATGTACTGTTACTCAAATCAATAAGAAGTAATGTCTACTAATGCATATACTTTAAGTAGCCTAGGAATTTGAAGAGTTCTATAAAAACAACTTCCTACTATAGTCTTCTGCCTCCTTGATTTATTGTCCAAGAGGAGAAAACTAGTAAGTGTGACTGAACCACCTTATTATTTCCCCCCCCAGCTTTAAAAAACACCTATCTTCCCGCAGCCTTTAATTTTATTTCCTCATGAAGCTACTCACTATGATCAGTGCCGGTGATCTGGGCAAGGATGCGAAAAGAGCGTGACTGGGTAGTGCCTGTCCGGGGATGCCAGTCTTCAGTGTCTTCGATCAGCCGCTTCTTGCTGGCATCGCTGTGAGTAGGGGTGTGGTAGAACTCCGTATAGGTATCCACAATGTGCTTCCGTGGTGGGCTGTGTTTAAGAGAGAAGAGAATATCAGCTAAAAGCTTCTTCAAGAATCATCTAGGTTAGGGTAACTACAAAGACATGGGCAGATCTGGCTTTTCACAGCATTTAAAGTCAACTTCTGAGTTTGAACATAGTGAGCTCTACAAACACATCTGAACACAGACTCATTTCTCTGAACAAAAATACAATTTGATAACTATTCTAATCCAAATAAAATATTTTCTTTTATATCATTACTGGAACATTTGAAACTGTAAAAGACAGTATTATCAAGATACATAGTTAAACATTTACCGTTTGGGTGGGATTTTCCTTGGAGATGACAGAATAACACAGCAAGAAAAAGTTTTCCCAGTGTAAACAGGAAAAAGAGAAAAAAAGAAAAGAAGAAATAAAGTAAGAAGTTTGAAACAAAAAAAGTGCAGCTAGTTATTCTACTGAATTAATTTTGGGGGAAAGTATATTGAAAGGGCATTGAAATAATAGGTGAATATGCTTGTTTTAATAAAGTCCAGTAGTCTATTCACTTATCAAGTGTTCTGGATAAACTCTTCCCTTCATTCACAGGAGGCAAAAAACTGCACAAGGCCACCCACACACACAAAGTCTTTTGCAATTGGTATGACCTGGATCATAGCTGGATGAAAGTGTAGGTAAACATGCTCTAAAGCACAACGGGAAGCTACAGAGTCTTGATACCCTCTCCAAAAGTAAAAGAAAATGGAGTAATGATTTTTATCTGAAATGTTTCTCCTCAGTATGTGCTATTATATGACCAACCCCTGAACAGTGGACTTCGGTGAATACAGGATTCTGAAGCCTTACTTTAAGTAACTGATCCAAAGAAAATGTAACGACACTGACTAGCTTAAGAGCAGGTAACAGAAAATTCCTACTACGTATATTATTCCTAAATTCCATATTAGTTATATCAAAGCATTAATCTCTCAGAACCTATACCTGTACTCTTTTTTTTTTTTTTTTTAAACAAAGTTTATAAGAGATGACCTGTGCAAAACTAGCTCCTAAGAAAGTATAATTCTATTAAAAATAATAATAATGAAATAAAAACAACCCAACCCTTTAAAAGTTACTCCTATTTTTTTGCTACTACTTACTGCATCATTAATGTCCGAAGTGCTTTTGGTAAAGATTAAAAACGTGAATGAGAATTTTGTACATTATTAATTGCCATCAGGAAATAATTAGATCTGTTCAGTGGAATGCATTAACAAATACTTCAGCTTAAAAGAATAGACAACATTTGAATGATAGGAAACCTATCATTCAAAATTGCAGCAAAAGATTGCATTTAAGGACACACAGCATTAGTGAAAGAAATGTGCCTCGCCAGGTTACTACAGAGGGAGGGGTATAGGAACAAGGACAGTGGCATTTCCAGGATGGAGTAAAGTAAATCCAAAGAAAGTGAAGTAAAGCAATAAAACAGTTAATAGTGAGAATCAAGTCTGAAAACTAAAGCAGTACTTAAAGGTATAGCGTTACATGGAAATGTAATTATTTACATACTGTAATAGCATTAGAATAATATTACTGACTGCATTCTAGCAGCTGTCACAGTGAATTAAGTCCTTCGTATTTGATGATAACGGCATGACAATTAAAATATCCTGCTTATTTCTCTCCTTTTACTTTCTTTCTTATGGCTTAAAGGTCTACTAGTAATGAGCCACTGAGGCACGAGGTGGTGCCAGAGGCAAAGGAATATTCGATGAGGCAGACTGAGCCTTGACTCATTCTTGAGGCAAGAGAAGAAAAAATAAGCCAATAAAATCACAATAAGTCATAATCATATTCCATGTCATTCTTAATTTTGTGGTATGAATTCAACATCTGGCCTTTCATTCCATACTCCTCAGATCATTTTCCCTTTTATACTGTATTTCATCATTCACCGGTTGTGTTGCTGACACCAACTAGCTATAGGTGCATCAAGAATCTATCAATACACACAAACACTGCACAAATGTTTTGTGGAATAGTTTTAAAAAATACTGCAGTTTAACACAGTGAAAAGCAAGATCACATCATGTCCAATGCAGACAAATCATTTATTACACTAAGTAGTTATAAGGAAGCTGAAGCTGTTTTGCCAAAATTTTAAATATAAAACTCTGCAAGAGTTTTATATAATATTGTTTTGTTTGCAAAACAAAAATACATGCTGGTTATTCCAACAACAAAAAAAAAAACGACCATAATTCAACTCCAGTGCTGTTGATACTAACTTTGTCATTGTTGTTATCTGCAAGGGAAAAAAGGTATTTGACTTGTTAATACATTCTCTGCTTCTTGAAATATTACAGGATCTTCCAAATCCAAGTTCTGGTAGTCACATAAAGAGTCAAAACTTAAACCATCAAGAGAACCTATAAAGGAAAAATTTAGCCCACCTGAACTTAAACTGAGTGAAGTCTATGAACATCTTACCTTTTTTAAAGCAGCAGGCACATTTTCATGTGAGAGTTGGCAAGAAAGTAACAACAAAATTTAATTGCACGTAGCCTAGTGAGGACAAATTGCTCTCTATTTATGCCAGGAGTAAACAAGGAAAAACAAAACTTCCTGAAGTGAAGGCAAATAGTTTATATACCAAACATTATTTGAGGGAAGTGAGAAGGAAGGAAGGAAAAAAACAACTTCTGAGTATTAAGCTAAGTCTGAAGAATTCTGCTTGCTCAGCAGTGCTACCTATGAGCAAGATGCAAGTATACGAGAAGTCAAATGGAATTTATTTCAGACTGATCAATAATTTAAAGCCTTCACTATTATATCACAAGCGTCAAATTCCACATTAAATGGGGTTGTGGTTTTACATAGCAAACTTACATTTCTAAAGTGATAGTTAACTAAGTAAAACAAAGTCAGTCACGTAGCTGCAGATGAGCATAATCTCTTTAATATTTCTTTACTTGTTTCCTATTTCAGGATTGCAAGACTAGTATTTAATTCTTACTTAAACTGAGTTACAGACTTAAAGCACTGTCGTAGGGAAGATATAATACAGTTTAGCTGATTTTTTTTTGTTGTTGTTCCTTTTCCGCTGCAAAAGTCTTCAAGATTGCCCAAACTAGATAAGCAAGGCTGGCAGCAAACAGGAATTTCCCAACCTACCAGCCTCAGTCAGTATTATTCACCTATCTCTAAACATAAGGCAAGGAAGGTATCAGCATGCATTCAGTCATTCTATCTTGATTGTTAAGTGCTTACACCTCCAGCACTTCCTTCCAGAAAACTTAATTTTGTTGCTACTGTTCAGCTTTTTCAATACCAATTACTACTTTTGAATGCTCCTTACATACTATTCGATAAAGACACATTCCTGGGAAGACAAAGACAGTCTGGCAATGTGTATTCAAGAAGCAAGTCCTTGGGATCTCCTGCTCTCGTCCTATCACTAAGCACTATGGATTCCTTCCATCATCTGTTAAAGATCGGCCTTGAAGGCACCATGACAACAGAGTAATATAAAATCCATATGGGCAGCATTATATAAATATGCATATGGAAAATATTTGTACTGCAATTTTAGGGGAATAGGCGCCTAAATTTTCCTTTCCAGGAGATGATTACTTGAGACTGTGATCTTTTATATTAGCTGATATGGATGGCTACTTTTCTGCAGATTTCCTCATATACTCAGGCCGAGAGGAGATTGGATGAGATGTGCACCAGGCCTCGCCCTTTCCCTTCGAGGAATGGGAAATACTAATAATAAGTTTTAGGCTTCAAGTTCATGAAATTGAAGATAAGTCAAGAAAAGTCAAAAAGCAAGAAGACAGTCATCACAATCAATGCTGAAGGTCAACAATCCTTCTTGCCAGGCGGCTCTGCACCTCCAAGTGCCTGCTGCTTTTAACCTCTGCATTGAGACCCAACATAAACAGTGAGACAGGTGTCCAAATGAATGCTGGGCTTGTTGCACGGTCTGAAAACACATCATGATACAACAAATTTTGGTGTGGTCTGCTGCAATTTAGGTGTGACGCTACAAATGGACATATTTTCAGAATTAAATCCTCACAGACTCAGCCCTTCAAAGGCACCCCTTTCTGAAGGCACACTAATTCCTCAGAAATTTGCTTCTGGTAATTGGACAGCACACCTCAGATGTGTTTTACTTGGCACTTGAACAAGCTCAGCTTTTTTCCTGCGAGGAAGAGACCCTCACAGCAAAAAAAAAATCCCACCTACCCATTTTGCTGTTTATTGTCACCCTGGTTCTCTCTGAATCCTCGTCGCAGCCCCTCCGCTAGCTCCTGGGTGTTGTCGCCGACATGGCCGCCTGGGGCGGCATTGTGCGTGGCAGGCTGCCGTGGGACATTAACGGCAGGTTTAGCAGTGCTCGGCGTGGGCGGCCGCCCATCAGCATTAGGCTTGGCGTTAACATGCAGTCCTGGTGCAGCAAATGGGGCCGGGGTGGGGAGCATGGGTGCCGCCTGGGCTGGGGTGAAGGCAGAGGACGGTGACGGGATGGAGGTGACTTTTGAGGAGGCCACAGCTCCAAATGGCCTCGGGGTCTTATTGTAAGCCACACTGGCCATGGCAGTGACTTTGGATGCAGCAGCAGAGGCAACAGGCACAGGCTTAACTACTTCTTTAGGTTCTCCCTATGCAAGATAAAAAAAAAAAAGAAACACACAAAACCACACCAACCACATGCACATTCCTCAGCAGGTATTTTCAGTGCTGCTGAGGGAGATAACCTGCCTAGCATGAAGCAAAGAAGAGGTATGAGCACCATAGAAGCAAGTGAAAGTGCAGTCAAGAAATCTGTGGAAAAAGTGAGCCATGCATTTAAGAAAGGGAATGATCTGTGTGTGCATGGTCAAAAATCAAAGACCACGATGCTTAATTTTCTCACTGCATCCAAAACAGACACTACACAAATCAAATTCAAGACAAAGTTAAGCACTGCTCCACTGCAAAACCCAATGGATAATTCATGTGGAAAATATTAGTGTTTTTAGAAATCCACATTCCACTTCCAAATCCAGTTTGAGAAACGCACATTCCTCATAAGCTAGGATCATGTGCGTGCATATGAACACACGGTATACATTGATCTGTTGATAAGGGCCTGAAGGGAGGAACCAGGGCACTGAAGCTCATTTGTCAGAGGCCAGTGCTTTAGAACCAAGTTGGCTTTTCTAGTTGCACTCTGCTGACTACAAGGACAAAAGTTTCTCCAGTCAAACTTCAGACCCACTCCTGTCCTTACTTGAGACTCCAGGACCAGGTGCCACATGAGTGGTTGGGTCACAGATACATAACCCAAGGTCAACACAGGTTATAGCTTCCAGATGGGAAAAATATAAGACTGATAACACTTGATATACTACAGTCATGTGGGAAAAGAAAACTGTGGTTATCCCAGGGTCAGGGATGCAAGAAAGCAACAGTTTGTTCTTTTTTTCCCTCTTTCTATAAAGTCATTGGCTTTAGAGCAATGGCAGATGAAAATGAAAAAGAGTTTCTCCCTTCAGGATATAGACAAAAATTCAGCATTATCTTTCAAAAAAGTTCTAAAAGCTAGAAGATAACATTTATTTATTTATTTGTTTGTTTGTTTATGGATGCTCATTTACCAGGTTTCTCAATTCTTTTTGGAGAGAAAAAAGATGTGGAAATAAAGCGTGCTGTACTATTTAACAGGTGGGTAACAGTTAGTGCTACACGCTACATTTCTTGGTTGTGATGATGAACATACCTTTGGTACATGAATAAGATCAGGTTTTGTTGCAGAAGCCACTCTGGAAGAGAAAAAAAACATACATAATTACAAAAACAAAGGTTTCAATATTTAAGTATTTCCCTTTCCCAACTCACCACATATGCCCACAGATTCATAAATTGTACCATTTTGTTTCCTTTAAAGGGAACAAGAAGTATTCAAGTTATATATCTGGTAAATACAGGGCAGAAGGAAAAACAAACTGGATGAACTAATCCAGACGCAAAGTTAGGAACTCTGGCATGCATCACCAAGTGCTATTTCACTTAGAAATTCATAACATCATATCACCAGAAAGGAGACATTAGTTGAAATTTGGTTGTTGTTTTCCTTCCTTTCATTAGAGGATATATCGTGTAACTCAAAAGTTCTGGTCAGATAAGTTGCATTCTCAAGTTCATAACCCTTATCTAGGCTTAAAACAGAAAGCTTCCTTTTAAAACAACAACAATCCTTCTGAATGACTTAAATTAAAAAAATACAGCGTGCCACTTTTGGTACTCAGTCTTCAAAGATGAGGTTAATGTCATTTGAATTCCACTGCAGACAGCAAAAAAAAAAAAAAAAAAAAAAAAAAAAAAGCCTTTCAAACAATGAGTGCATTGAAACTACCACTGGGTGGTAGGAAGCAAAGGAAATATTGTAACGGAAAAGATGAAGATAAAGAAATGACAAGTTCTGAACTGGTAACATAGGACAGTAAAAGAATCTCATTTGTTTTTGTATTTTTTTTAGATTTGCAAGTACACGTGTGCAAAAATACACTAATACTCTACAATTTCACAAAGACAATCAAATCAAGAAAAAGTTCAACCCACTGACATTTTGTCTGATAACATCACTGCTGATATACTTCAGCTTTCTGTTGATGTTTTGGTAGAAAAGTGGCTTCCTGACACATTTCAAAACATTTCCGGCCATATTTGGTAGCTGCTCAGAAAAGCTGGATCCTTGAAGACTGAAGAAGAGTTGTTATATCCTGCCTAAAAATTGCACAACTTTGACTTCCTAAAAACCTTCTAAGCAGGTGCTCACAGAACTGAAGCTGGATTAACATTTCTGAAAGATACTTTGCTTCTGAGGAAAAAAAAAAAAAAAAAAAAAGGCTTGTTTATTTTGAGATCAGCAGATAATACATTTTCATTAAACACCTCTATTGTATGAGACAGATTTGAAGTAGGCATACCCAGTCTGCTTAACTGAAGTCTTCTCAACTCTTAACAAATATCTTTTTTCTTTTTTAATTGTTTAAAATGTTTACTCCTTCCCTTTAAGCCATCTAGTCCTCAGTGCTCATCCAATTTCAACAACAGCCTTTCAGCCATTCAGGTTCAGGAACTCACTTATAGAAAAGGGAGATGCATATAATTCACATGCTACATTGGCAAACAAGCTGAAAAAGTGATAAAACAATAACAAGCAGGAAAAAACAAAGCACAACTACAGAGTGCAAGATCATCATCTTCTGCACTTTGCCTTCATCATTTGTGCATCACAGCTGACACACATCATGCCCACATCAACAATAATTCTCAGAGAGAGGGATTTCCCCACTCTGAAGAAGAGCTCTGTTCTCCTGTTTCCCACAGAGTTTCCAGCCTATGAGAATTCTGGCCTCCAGCCCTCCAAAGCACCAGGGTGCATCATTAATCACTCTTAATTGCAGAGTTGTCAATTTGCAGCAACAAAAGCAACCTAAATGTAACAACACATATGGAAGCCTTTTCTTTTTAAAGACTAGAGTTAGCAGGAAATATGCATCTTGTTCTATGTTTTAGCTATGCATTTGTTAATAAACTTGGAACTTTTAAAATATGGATTAAACTAGCCTAACGCTTAGGAGTAGTGAGATATTCACTACTCAGATCAACTCCTTATTTCAGAGCTGAGAAGAAAAGTTTCTCCTTGCTTATGCTCAATCCTGCAGTTCCGATCTATAAGTGAAATGCATCTTTTTCTTGGTTGTTTTAAAAATAAATAAATTCCAGTTTGCAGACGAGTTTGCTTTGAATTCATCATAGCATTTAGCAAAATTTCAATCCCTGCTTCTACTCTTCAAAATTCATCCACCAAGAAGAAAAAAATGCATTCAAAAAAAGTTTTGATAACTACACTGTTCCCAGTGTTCTTTTATTACTGGAATCAGACAGCAGACAGCACAACAACTTTAATTCCCCCAAACATACTTGAAACAAGGACATAAGTCTGTGTCCCAGACATACTTCAAACACTTGGCCATGTCAAATTCAGACCACTGTCAGACTAAAATCTTTTATTTATCCAGTACAGCATAAAGAAAATGCTCATCCAGCAAACTGTGCCACCAGGATCTGAATGTGAAAAATGTACAGTGGTTAGACAAGACCGTACAAGAGGAAATGCACAGTTCAAACTGAAGAGCAAAACATGTCCAATACATTTAAGAAACTAACTGCTTCAAGGATTACATCTTGATTGCTGTCCTTGGAAATAAAGACAGATATTAAGAAATCTGCAGAGTAAAATGAAACATTTTAACTGCACATTCTTGATCATTTTGTTAGCTGTTAAAACCTAGCTTTTCACCTAGCAATTTCATGCTAGTTTAATTAAACAGAGTGTATTAATACCTGATGATGCAGGCTTCCAGAATAAGATGACATTCTTGTATGTTAATACTCATTAGAAAAGTAGAACAGCAGGGTATTTTCTGAACGATTTAAAGATGGCAATTCAGTATATTAGTTTATGTAAAATTCTGGTTATGTACAAACAAAACAGACACAAAAGCTCAGCAATAAATGCTTATTATAAACAGTGCACAAAAACCACAAAAGACCTTCCCTAATGGTTGCTGGATTGAGTTCCAGACTGCATTGTTAAGCTTCTTATAAATTATTTTAGACAATGGAAATACAGGCAACATTCATCAGTTAGTGACAGCTGGGACGCTGAAAATGAAAGTGCACAATATTTTTGCACTTCTCCATCAAAGTTGTTTGTTCTTTCAATAAAAGGTCTATACTTAGTCTGCATAAACAGTTCATTTCAACCAGAAAAACATGTACAAATTTACTTTCCCAACATCCTACAAACTTTTTCTCTCCAATGAATACTTTCGTGACATTTAATGTAATTCCAACATTCAACTTCCAGCACAGCCTTATTAGGAAAATGAATTAGTTTGCTCATCACTGTAAGTAGCGTACCCAGCAAAAAACATTCATTCTTTAAATTCTCCTTTTATTAATTCACTCTTCCAAGTATTTCACCCATTGAGAAGACATAATACAACCAAATCCTTTCAAAATTACTAATACTTGGAAACCCCCAAGTAATGCTTTGAGCTGTACACCTTGGTATAACATCTCTAAAAATCAGTCATCAATATAAACACCATAATCTCACTGATGAGTGTTAAGGAATTAAATTTAAGGCAAAACAAAATTTTTCAGAGGCCCCAACACCCAGCTGGTAAATCTGGTAAACCAAAAGATACCTTTCAGAGTATTTCTCCTCAATTCCATTAAGGTCCCATCACTCCTTTAAGGTAAACCTCAAGGAGGTAACTGTACACAACAGCAGCATTCATACAGGTACTGTTTTTTTGGCTTTTTTTTTTTTTTTTTTTTTTAACTCTGGAATTTAAAAGATTGCTTATGAATTTTAGTCTCAGATACAGCAGTGAGAGGTTGCAAAATTTTAATTAGTAAAGTGAAGTCAATTTCTGCAAAATTGGATTTGTTGGTCTGAAGTGAAAAATTGTAATAGGAGGAAGGAAGATAGACTTTTTTTCCCCTCTCATTTTGAGAAAAGAACTCCTGTTCCCTAGCTGTACAGTCAGGACAGATTCTGGCAGCAGATACAACATCCCTGAAAAGTCAATGCTCAGATATTCTTGCTGAAAACCTCAGCTTTTAATGGTTTTGCCATTGTAGTCCGCAGTTCTGTTTTGCTAATGTTTTTGACTCATATATTTCTAGATATCAGTTGACAGGGCAGAAAGCTAAATGCATTTGCTTTTCATAAATTAGCTGGCCTGCATGAAAACAAGAAAACGACAAGCAGAAAATACTTAGCATTGTAAATACTGAATTATGACTTTTACTAGGGGTTATCTGAATAAAAACAAATGCAGATATAATTTAAAGAAAGAAAAAAAAGAATAATCCAAATATATTTTTCCCTTAGTGCAAAGCCCTTTCCCTATTGCAGACAATTCAATTTCTACCACCTCTGCATTGCAAGAACAGAAGAGCATTTTCAAGCTTGCTTCTTGTTGCAGTATATGCAGAATATATCAGAAATGGTTGCCTTATGTAAATAATTTCAGTCATCTGCCAGGAAGGAAAATAACATGCAACTGCACTTCCCACAACTTGTAGGATTGCACACACTGTGCCAGGTGGCACAAGTTGGCATGCTGGCATTTCAGAGACATTGCTGGGACAAATATTTGCAGCCCAGCAACAGCAGTCCTGTGCACATCCCCATACATGAAGAAGAAGAGGCAGAAAAATTATCATTAAGCAGAGCTAGATGAGAACTGGAAAGCACTACATCACTGTAAAAGGGAGATGACATTTTTTACTCCTTTTAAAGAAACACTGCAATGTTTTCAAACCTATACTTTGGCCATCATGCCTGGCAGTACACTAACAGGCTGCTGTAATGGCTATATCACTTTCTCTCTCCCCTAAGTCATTCTTTTTGTTCTAGTTCAGTATGCTAGTTTTCACTTAGCTCAACAGGTGAAATCATAACAAATATGAAAGGATGAAGATTGGATGCCCATCTGCTTTTTACAAATATAGTGGCAATTCAGATACCATATATAGTAAGTCTTAGTGCTAATGTCACATTCTTACATTACAAGCTAATTATTACATTAAAAATGCATATTTCTTCTCTTGCCCTATAAAATCAGTCAGTAAATCTTGCTTCCAGGATCTTTCAAACTTAAATGTTAAAACACAAACTCCAGTGTGCTTCTAATGAAGTTTCTGTGGATACTCAGTTTGCATCTGAAATGCCAGAAAA